CGCCCGTCCCCTCTCCTCCATCAACCCCTCATCCGACTCTCACTCCACCCCTGTCCTGTCCCCAACACCTGGGCAGCTTAACACGCAAGCCCCGCCCTCCAAGACTAAGCCCCTCCCCTTCACATGCAGAAGAACTTCCAGTTGAACCAGAAAACAATATGCACTACCACAGCCTTCCCCAATGAGCAGGACGGATGGATAGTTTTAAATGTACAATATCAAGGATAATATCAGAATATGAGATTATGTATGTGTGGGAATTTTAATTAGTCATTTTTAATTAGTTATCCTATGTACATTTAGTATTTCATGCTTTCCAAAAGCTTAGATGAATGAATTGTGTACAAGACCAAAACTTAAATCAGTAGTTATAAAGTAAAAACTGATTACATGGATGTACTGGATTCTATATATATATACTAATTGAACAATTTGCTTTTATTATTCATTATTCTATTTTTTTTTTCTTTTTTTTGAAAAAAAAAATTATTCTTTTTCTGTGGTTTAAAGAAATGGCTTAAACTAAACTAAACCCCAAAAAATACTATAAATATACAAATATAGTGTTTAATTTCAGCTATAATTGAGAATTATTGTGATCTGTTCGGGGTTACTGTAAATATGATTTCTTTATGCCAGTATTAAAATGATTTTATTCTTTTTGCCTCCTTTTTTTGGACAGAAAACAAAAGTAAATCTCTCAAATAATATCAAATTCTTTCTGAATGTCTAAAAAGACATAAGGACATAAAGGCCTGTTTTCTTCTTGAGACAAAACAATGGCACTGGCATATTTTAAGATCAGCGCAAGTTGCTTTCAGTTAAAACAGCTCAAACATGCATTTTAGTCTGGGATTAGGTTTAAAACTTGTCTGTGAAACCAGGGGGAAAGACAGACTTTATGTACACAATTGTCAATTTACACGTTTCAACCACCAGAGGCTCCCACATACTTATCAATCAATAAAACATCTGCGTCAGCCTCGAGACCACAAATAGCAAGAAAGTGCTGCTTGACTAGGCTACTCTTCAACCTTTCTCTCCTTGCTTTTTTTCTGTAGAACAATAGAAATAGTTTTTAATTGAGTCACTTCGTCTTGATTTACCGAGTAGGCTACACAAATTGTGATATTTTCTCCTCATTGACAACAAGTTGTACGCAGGTTTTTTTTAGCTACATACAATTTAAAAGATAATTGAAATAAATATGTTGAATTAGTCAGCTACATTATATCTTAATGTTTAGTCCACATGTTTAAAAACGCTGGTGACCTCATTAGATAAACAGCGCGCCACCATAGACTGTAAAAAAACGAGTGACACACTACACGAGTTCGAGTGAAGGTTATGGTTATAGGCTGCGTCCGAAATCACATAGGCCTACTCTCTTAAGTCTTGAGTAAGTAATTACTCAAATACTTGTACTATTTGTACTCGGCCCCATAGTAGCTATATGTCATTTCAGCTAAAATTAATCTAGAGCATGAACATTTGTTTTGCTTAACCTATGTATGTACAATTTATTTCTAAAAGGTGTAAACCAGTGTTGTTTACCTTTACCTCTGTTACCATTTACAGACCAGTTTTCTAAATTCTCTGTAATATTTGTAATTAAGTGCCATATATTCATTCTTTTTATACTTTAATTGTACATAAAAAGGTTATCTGACACTATGTGGTTACAGTGCAAATATTTTGAGTGTCCCTTATTTTCCTATAAAGAACCAAGATCTTACCTTCTATCTTACCTTCCTTTGGGGGAAGTTGGCAACCCTATTTACCGCTCTCCAGCATTAGATGGACAGGTGAGCTAAGATATAGGCCTATTTAGATGTAACAATTGGATTGTAGCTAAGTTTTTTTTGTACTTTTTTTTTTTTTTTTTATTATTATTACATGTTTTTTTTATGGGGTAAGGGGGGGGGGTCATAAAAATGTAATTGATGGTTATAAACATAAGATATCATATATTTATTGTGTATGCCTGAAGTTACATAATTATATGGGATTACTGGTTTTGGTGACATTTTAATAACCGATTAGTGTGTTATATCTTTTAGTCTACTGTCACCAATGGAACATGTGCATTTCATAAAATGTACACTAGGGCATTTTACATTCGCTCTGGCTTACATTTAAATATAGGATGTTGACAAATTTGAGAAACCATGAATACAATACAGCCAAATATAATAGTGAGCAACGTGAGTTGATAATGCATTGTTAGTTGCTAGTCGCACTGTCAAACATTAGCTGTGTGATCAGTCAACAAATCAGATATCAGGCTTTGTAATGCTTAAGTCTTTCTTTTCACAATAATTGTCTTGAAAAACAAAACAGAAAAATAGAATAGCTCCATAAATAGCACATTCACATTGTTTTCAAATACGTAAGGATGAGTATGAATGTGCAGAAGTTATCTTTTATGAGATATGAGATACAGGAGCTGTCTGGTTATAAGGATGATGTTATTAATATCTGAGTTATATTCTATTAACTCCACCAAAGCACTTAACTGATTTATTTAAATTATTGGCATTAGATTTGCTTTATCTTACACTCGAGAGGGTTAGCAGTTCTAGCACTCTTCTTTTGCCTATGAACGCTAGTACTTGGCTTGGTGAAAAGTGTTGTGTGTAAGTGGTGATTATGCAGAATGGTGCAATCAAAATGCTCATGGAAACATTTCGGAGTAGATACTCTAATCAGACCAGAAAAAAAAAACAAATCAGAATGTCTGATTTTAAATGCGGTAGGATTAAAAAATATTTCCACTTACTCTTTAACCTTTTCTATACTTAGTAAAGAATATTGTGAAATCATGTGCTTAATACCAACAGGACTGACTTCAACATCATTAGGCAGCTGGCCTTTGGAGGAAAAATGCTTCACTCTGCTCAATTATTAGTCGTCCGTCATGTTTTGTGTGGATTTTGAGTCAGTACAGTGTGGTTTTGTTTTTCTCAGATAATGCGAATCCTTCAAGAAGACTTTCCAGCAGTTCCAAACACAGAGAGCGGGTGAAACATTAAGGATGCTGAAAAGCAAAAGGAGAAGATGAAAGGACCCTAATGGAGGAGTTTTCCATATTCCAGCCCAGATCTGACCCGGACACACATCCATAAACTGAACAACCGTAAAGCCTTTTATTATTAGGATAATGCCTTCCCCTTAGATCCTTTATTATTGAAATATGACTGGACTCCTCTCCTTTGTCCCATGATTAGCAGAGAGCCCATGCATTTCTGATTACCTGAGGTGTGATTTTCTTTCTCACCTAGTTGCGTAAGCTTTTAAAATAATGCCTTTTTGCGCAGGTCCCTTTTAACCTGCCTTTGGTAAAAGTTAGACATGAACTAACCCTAACCATAGGCCAAATGGTTTGGAAAAACAATTTTGATTTCTTATCAACCACATTAGCCCTGCTATCCAGTCTCCTGTTCTGATCAAAATCTTGCCCCTGTGTCAACAGTAAAACAGCCCCTCTGGGCAGCCCAGGCTGTTAATCTGTTTCCGCTGTGGAGTGTAGTCAATGGCACATAAGACTCAGAGAATTAAGACGTAGGAAGCTTTCCTGGCCCCTCGGGGATGAGATCAAAGAGCAAGGAGGCTGAGAACAGGTTTGCGCTTGTCTCTACTGTTCACACTTCCATCCCTAGTTTGTTAGGGCTGTTAATGATCCAGCCACACATGCCAACAACATCACTTCTTCATTGCAAACCTGACTGAGCCAGAAATTTCATTGTGTAATGCTTGTTGAAAATGTCTGTCTTTAAGTGTTTCAAGTGATTACATACAAGCCCCTTGTCCTTTCCTCGGCTGACCAGAACATATGTTGCTCTGAGTGGACACAGGAGGCTCTAGGGCACATTACGATGACAGAAATGTTATTTGCTACAGCTTGACCTCAAAGAGCTTAGTTTTCTATAAGCGTTTCCAATTTTTTTTCCCACTAAAGACTCATGAATATCATCATGTTTAAATGTTAAAGCTGGATTTTACACAATGGGCCATCATTTTTTTCAGACGTAAATATAGACTCTGGGGTGGGCTGCTAAATTAAGCGAGATGGACAATGAAAGGACTAAATTAAATGATTACAACAGACATCAAGGGGGTTGGGCACTTTTTCGCCGTAGTAACTGTTCCCCCTGACAACAGTTAGAGTGACAATTATATTCAGGTCTTTCAATGCCCCCAGGTTTCTCTTGCTCACTTGCTGGATTTGGCTCCATTGAGCACCTGGGACGTCTGTCTGTACGCGGGGCGAAGCGGGAGCTGCTGACGGCGCACAGGCAAGACTGCTATTTTCTGACTCAAACATTCTATCTGCAATGCTATACGAATAGAATAATTCAGTACGTACAGATGGTCAGAAATAAACGTGGCCTGCCGTACTTCAAGAAAGTTTCCAAGAAAGTCTCAGGTGACACTATGTCTGTTTGCCATGATAATTGAGGTGTAGAGTAAATTTAAAGTTGATGCACTGATGTGCACTATAAAGTGTGTTCTGTGAACTTTACAGGATTTTATTGAATTTTTACTTTTAGTCAAAGAAACCGATGTGCATTTATGAGAATAGTAAATGGCTTTTAATTGGATAATTCACCCAAAAACGAAAATCCTGTCTTCATTTACTCATCCTCATCCTCAAACCAATTTTTTTTCTTCTGTTTCAGCGTTTTTGGTCTATATTTTGAAAGTCAATGTGGGTCCAAACAACATTGGACCCCATTGACTCATTGTATGAATAAAAAAATAAAAAAAATGTTTAATTGATTGATGCTTGGTTAAGCAAAGTGTCACACTGCTTTTTGACCCTGTAGCTCCTCACTAGAGGAGGGTTAACACAATATGAAGGGTTAACTGATGCTTCGATCACTGTTTATTTGTTTGGTTGAAAGTACTAGACTAAAGGGTTAAAGACTTAAAAGACTCTACTGTAGATGTGAAAGTCATTCTTTATATGTTTATTTGCAGAGGACATTTATTTGCAGAGAACTTTTGAGAGCTGGTCTTGGTGGTTCTGCTCCTGGTTAGGGGTACCAGGACAGGTGGATCTCACAGTTCATTCGGTCAGCATGGGGTCTGGCTCCTCCTCCTACACTTCCAAAACCATCTATTTGGATGTAGATGGCAAAGTGCAGAAGGTGAGTGTCTTCAGTGTTTTAAGGAACTCATGTTTATCTAAATTTAAACTCAAGGATGCAAGTTAGTGGTTGTCATGCGATTATGGATTACTACTGGTGGCTGACCAATATGGGGTTTTCATTGACAATAGTAATACCAATATATTGTTGACTATTCAGTGTAATTGAAATTTAATCCAACTTAATTTATAAAATATTTACTAAATATTTAGTGAAAAAATACAGAAAAGAAAAATTGCTCGAAAAGGCCAAATGGGCCTGACTGGTGTAGCCTATTGGTCTATCTCTAATATCTTAGTCCTGAAATGCTGACTCTAAACCTTTAAACAAGATGTTTAGCAGTTTGTCATTGTACTAGTTCATCTGTCAAGAGGAGTGCTGGGAGATCAGTGTGCACAGGTTAAAAATAAAGCTGAAGAGCTGTTCCGCAGGTGTGACTGACATTTCATGCTGTTGTGACACTTTGTTTTCTCCTGTTGTTTCCAAGAGAATGGCTGAAGTGCTGTTAATGGTTGTGTTTAAGTCCAATTTAGAGTGTTGTTCTACATATGAAAGATGCTCAATCATACTCTGAAGTACTCACATCATTATCCATGATTGATGAAAAATGTTTGACATATTCTAGAAACTCATTAAGATTATTTTTGTCACAAAATGCAGGAGGTTTGTACAGAATGAAAAGGTAATATGGCAGAAAATGCTTGTTTCAGATTCAGCACTTCATCTTGAAGCTCATACAACCTCCTAAGAGCTCAGAGAGACCAAGTGGACATTGAGAACATTGAGAATGGCATGGTTTACTGTAGTACAGGATCTATTGGGGATCTGAGCCTGTCTACCACAGCTTCCTCTTTCACATTGTGTTATTCTCTTCGTCATTTTTAAATCTTTGTTCAATGATAGATTCAATGAACCTATCAGTACCAAAAACAAAAAGCTAAATTTTTCAGTTATTTTTAGATGAATGTTTACACTACAGTTCAAAACTTTAGGGTCGGTAAGATTTTTAAAAACTGTTTTTGAAATGAGTCTCTTATGCTCACGGAGGCTGCATTTATTTGTTTATTTGTCAAAAAGCGATTACTCAAGTCTTCGGTGTCACATGATCCTTCAGAAATCATTATAATATATATATATATGGTGCTCAAGAAACATTTCTTTTTATTTACAATGTTGAAAAAAGTTGTACTGCTTAATGCTTTCGTAGAAACCGAGATATATTTTTTCAGGATTCATTTATTAAATATAAATTTCAAAATATAACAGCACTTATTTCGAATGGAATTTTTTTGTAACATTATAAATGTCTTGACTCTTTACTGCCACTTTTGATCAATTTAATGTGTCCTTTCTGAATAAAAATATTACATTTACATTTAGCTGACGCTTTTATCCAAAGCGACTTACAATTGCTATACATGTCAGAGGTCGCACGCCTCTGGAGCAACTAGGGTTTAAGTGTCTTGCTCAGGGACACATTGGTGTCTCACAGTGGATTCGAACCCGGGTCTCTCACACCAAAGGCATGTGTCTTATTCACTGCGCCATCACCACCATATTAATTTCTTTAAATAAAAGTCTTACTGACCCCAAACTGTTGAACGGTAGTGTGTAAATTCTAACATATATATTTAAATCTCATAATTTGTATAACCCCAGAGGAACATTCATTGCTCAGAGGTGGCTCTACCATAGTTCGGGAGATTTGGAGTTCTGAATTAAGTTTTATTTTAGTATTGACCCAAAAAAAATGAATATAACTTTAATATAAAAAATTATATATTATAGGCTCTGACTTTTTATTGCAGACTGGTGTCTTTGTAAATCTGAGTAAAGTGTAAAGAGTAAAACTCTAGAGGAGATGCATGTCAGATTACATGGCAATGAAAGAACCAGAGAAAGAAGAGACTCACGCCGAAGTCTCAATTTAATCTCATGCTGCCTATTAAGATGTTTTAAAAAAAAATCTTTCCAATGGGATGACACCACACTTTCATTTTAAAAGTTCTTTGCAACACAACAATCCCACAACATTTTCAATGACATTTCACAATTTTTATTTCAGCATACATATTTCAGTTGGGTTGCAGTGTTTCTCATTGTAGTACAGGTATGACGACAAATACAGACATAATATTGCTAACACACCCTTATTTGTCCCTCATAGGTGCTTTTCAGTCGTCACTGCAGCCCATGTGATATCAAAGAACTGCTGTGTTCCTCCTCCAACATCTCTAGGTCTGTATATCACTCATATCACCACTAATCAACACTGCAATCCATTTTGCAAACCTGCAGTGGTTGAGAGTGAAGTTCTCTGTAGTGGACAACATGTTCAGTGGTTAACATCATAAATCCATCTAATTTCACTTTTTATTTCTTCTATCTGTAGGAACACTGCTATAATGATGGTGAACCCTGAAGGTGCTTTCGTGTCTATCGATCCCACAATGCCCACCAACACCCCCAAGTAAAATACAGCCTGGCCCTTGCTGTTTGTATAAGCAGTTATGATAACTTTCAGTTAGATCTGTCAGTTAATGAGCCCATTTTGTCCTTTTAGCTCCCTGTACAAAGTCATTCCTTTGTCTACCGGCCAGCTGGGAGGTAACGTGCATAATTTTTCACTGTTTGTCACAGTGTTTGACTCTTACTCGTATCCTAGATCTACATTCACTCATTATATTGTTTCGAGCCAAGATTTGTTCTGCTCTGATTTATAGCCTGTGTATTTAACTCCACAGAAAAGGAAGATATGTTTCAGAATGTGATCTCACAGATAGCAGAGCAGTTCAGCAGGTAACGGACATGTTTGTTTTCCCATGGACTGGAGATGAATCTCTATTACCGTAATGTTTCTGTACTAAAACCAGCTCTAAAAAAACTTTTTGTTCTTCTCTCTACAGAGCGTTCAGGATTAACGAACTGAAAACGGAAGTGACCAACAGACTGGCTATGCTGGAGAAGAGAGTAGAACGTATGTAATGACAATGTTACGGTTTGCTGTTTGTCTTATTTTTTATCTGGTTTTATTACACTACATGACTTTTAACACCTAAACAGATTTTAAAACACTAAGGGCAAACCCTCTTTTGGCATTAAAAAACTACTATCAGGATTTACCAAAGACACGCAGTGAAAAATTTGCGCTGAAAACGCATGGACAGGGTTATTTTTGTGGCTGACCTTATTGCATATACATTTGTATGAGTTTCCCTTTCAGATGCAAAATTTATGGGAGGAGAGTATTTAAATGAATCAAGCAAGGTGATTTACTAAGGTTTGCGCTAGTCAATTTACTGGCATTTGCACCATTATTTACCGCCCCCAAAAAAGCAGGTCTTAAACCAGACGCTAAGTTGCGCTGCTCTTGGTAGATTGCATTGGTCATTATGGAAATGATCCGGCTGTATCTGTGTTCTTTAATTTGCATGTCGCCAGTAGATCATGCACAACTTTCCACTCCCATCAGCACTTTTTTGGAATTGCGCTCTCAAGCTAATTTGCCCAGTTTAGTAAATATGGCCCTAAGAATCATTTACTTTGTAAATGGTTACAGAGAATAACTGTGCATCATACACCATATGCATCATACACCAAACGACTTTCAAGTCATTCCGAACACAATTGTCACATGATGTGCAGGGCAAAAAGGTGTGAGGACTCAAGTGCAGGAGAAGGTATATTTATTCACAAAAACAAACACAAAGCAAAAACCCACGAGGGGGAAAAATACAATGAATAAAACAAGAAACAATAACTGAACCTGACCATGAAGACAATCACAGGGAATGGGAGACATTAGACAACAATCCGACAAAGACTGCAAACAAGAGCAGACTTAAAAAGGGAGCAAATCGAGAGGGAACAGGTGGAAGAACTCAAACACTAATCAGGTAACAAGGGGGAGGGATCAAATAATAACAAGAGCACATGGCCCAACATAACAAAGACACCCAAGTGCAATACAAGACAGGACAGACACGTGACAACAATAAACTCACACAGAAGCATGCATAGAAATATACTTTTGTCAGGACCACTATCGTCAAATACGATTGACAATTAGCATACAGTTTGGATTGGCGGTATGGTTCTGTTCTGGGCAAGAACTCCCTGCGCATCCATACAGCCTAGCATGAATAAGAGCAGGGAGAGCAGCGATAACTCCCCTTAGGGTAAACAGAAAAGAACCAACATGAATGTATTGCAGATATCATGAATTAATTTTAATGTACAACATAATTAGAGAATTTAAGTCTGATTCGGGGGGAATCAGAATGCCAAATCTTGACTGACGAGAGGAGGAGCTGGGGAAGGAGGAGGGAATTGGCTCCTGAGAAACGCGATAGCTGTTGATAATACTGAAGGAGCTTATATATGTATACAGTGATAGACGTTGTATTCCTATAGGTAGTCGTGGATCAGCTGAGAGTCAGCTGATGCGAGTTGATTAACATGACCTGCCAGAACTGACGCTACGCTTAATATAGATGCCTCATTAGCGTCTGTTTCTTTGGGCAGCTATATGTAAGCCGTCTGCCATATTGGAACGGTCGAAGCCATTACGTGAATATTCGAGGGCAAGTTGGCTGAGCGTCTGCAACCATAGATGCATGTATGAATATCTAGATCTGCAATAGACTTCAGCAGATGATTTTGCTAAAGTAACACAATACAACAAGACGAAGGCGAATTTAAATCTCTGTGGTTTCACAACCACAAGCTGTGAAATGTTGTGAATCCGTGTATCATTCGTTCAGTCGTTTTTTGATTTAATATTGAAAGTAGAAAAATTTGAAAACCGTTCCAAAAAAAATGAAAAACAAGAATTTAGCTTGATTTTTTGTTTTTCGTTCTGAGGAAGAAAAATGAATAAACAGCTTGAATATTCGATTTCTACACGTGGGTGGGAATGAAACGCCCCTTTCCTCTGATTTGTCAGCCGAAGATCAAACGAATGATACAGGGGGTGCTTCTCAATATCCCTCCTCTTCTCCTCGCTCCTCCGTCCTCCATCCTATGACCCGGAAACCAATCAAGCTCAGCCATCTTGAAGGACATCTCAATTCTCTAACTGCACCGCGAGGAGTCGAGGATCGAGGAGTGAGGAGGCTTCCAGAGGAGTCATGAGCGAGGATACACAGGTGTTACCTGCGGAAGTGTTTTATCGACTAAACGTTACGAGACGCACGTATACATTCTCCTCCCCCTTCACATCGGACACAATCATTTTAATTTATACTTTACCTTTGCAGTTTATATAATCCACACATCTCACATATTTCAACAGGGTATCTTGCTTTATTATTATTTATTATAAATAACCAAACTTCAACAACATATGGGCAAATCCTTTGAGCGCTGCTGATGACGCTGTGAAGTGACGCTCGAGTGATCAAGTATTCCAATGTATAAAAAAAAGCTTTCATTCGATTCCTCCGTCCTCCTTTTCTTTCCTTGCAGCCTTCCCTCGTATCCTACAGGGGGTGGAGCTGAAATGCGAGGAAAGGTAACAAGGATGCACAAATAAGAAATGAGAAGCACCCACGGATTGTTGTGGCATCATTGATTCTTACTGTGAGTGACGACATGCTGGCCGTTCCAAGAAGTGGTTGAATGTGGCATATGTATACATATCTACAGTATGATAAAAACACCCTAGCAACTGCATAGCAATGCAAAACAACCAGCTTCGCTACAAACACTCAGAATACCATAGCAACACAATTAAAAAACACTCTTCTTATTATTTTGATTTTCTATACAGTGGAGGGTTTGAAGGTCGTGGAGATTGAGAGGTGCAAAAACGACCTGAAGAAACTGAGAGATGAGATGACATCCAGAGCAGGAGGAAGGTAAGTGAAAGAAAACATTTTCCAAAGAAAATCAAAGCAAGCGTGACAATCTATCTGCTTATCCATCTAGAGCCGCCATCATGCGGCTGTTTCCAAAACTAGAAACATAAATGTATCTAAATGACTAATCCACCACTCTCCTTTTAGAGTGAATTGTCCATGCAAATACAATTTCTCAGACGATGGAATGAAATTAACTCCTAGACGTGATGTCCCCAGCTACCCAAAGGTGCTTTAAAGTTTTATGATGTGCTTTGATTGAATTGTGGGCCCTGCGGGAGAACATTTTGTCTCTCTCTATGTGAATTAATCTCTATTATTCTTGATTTCCTCAGTACACGCTTTCTCAGGAGACCATTGAAGCGCTGAAGAAACCAACCTTCGATGTTTGGTACTGGGAGCACAATGAAGTAAGTCTAACTTGGTGAGATATACAGTGCATTTAGAGATGAAATGGTTTGCCGTTTATTCATCAGATGTTGAGCTGCCTGGAGTACATGTACCATGACTTAGGCCTTGTGAAGGAGTTTAATATGAACCCGATTACTCTCAAACGCTGGCTGGTAAGAAAATTAGTATAATTGTAGAAATTAAAATTATTTCCACTGAATTTCCCAGTTTAACTGCTCTGATGTTCCCCAATCTTTTTATATGTTCTCAGCTGGGCATTCAGGAAAATTACCGTAGCAACCCGTTCCATAATTTCCGCCATTGTTTCTGCGTGAGTCAGATGATGTATGGCATGATCCACCTCTGCAACCTCCAGGTGAGAACCTTACGTAAGTAGCAATTAGTACAGCAATTACTGTGGAAGAGTAAAAGTGGAAACCTGTGTGTGTGTGGCCCACAGGAAAAGCTCACACTGACAGATCTGGGCATTTTAATGACTGCTGCCGTGTGTCACGACTTAGACCACCCTGGATACAACAACACGTAAGATCTTCGCTTCTGTGTAATTATGCTCTCGAGTCAGTTCTCATAAAAAACATACAGGTGTACCCAGGTATTTGCCTGCACGTTCGTGATGACAATTTTACAGTCCTATATCTGTGGTGTTTATCTTAGTAACCATTTCACATGACATATGAAGAGATAATCTAGCGCATTCATTTCTAATGCAGGTATCAAATCAATGCTCGCACTGAGTTGGCAGTGCGCTACAATGACATCTCGCCTCTAGAGAATCACCATTGCGCTGTGGCCTTCCAGATACTCTCATTGCCGGAGTGTAACATATTTGCCAACGTGGACCCAGAGGCCTTTAAACAGATCCGACAGGTATAGCATTAAAATATCAGCTCCCATTTGAGGGAATCTAAGGGTCAGTTCACACAGAACGCATTTTTACATTTAAAAATGTGAGACAGGGCAGTGAAATGAAGAGAGGAGAAGTCTCAAGATTTTTTTTTATTTAAAAAGAGGACCCTCTTTTAACTTGAGCTCTGTGTCTTTAGAACACCGGAAGATTAGTGCTGTCACAATATCAGATTTTTACTACATGATTATCATAGTAAAAACAATTTGCAATAATGACATTATCGCAAAATTGATAGAACATTTTGAAAAAAGGAATTAAATAATATTATCGGCTAAATTCATCTTTAACTTTGTTTATTTTGTTTGTTCTCTTTTTTGGCCAATGATTTGCACTCAAAATAGTGTAGGGAGGTGGAAATAATTGTAACCAAAACTGTACATAAGCGTAGAAAAATCTGTACAGTTGCAAAACCTGTTGATCTGCACTTCCTGCAGAAGACTGGGGTGTCTAGCAACCCGTCTTTTTTACAGAATCCAAAAAACTCCCCACACTGGCGAGCTAACCTTTTCCGGGTGGCTAGAGTGTCTCGCTTTCCTCTCATATCCTCCAACATGATTTTGTATGGCAGTAGCAGCTATACAGTGTTGTTGTCTTCTTTTTTAAATGTTATGATGGTATCACATTGTTAAGGTGCACTACTGCCACCTACTATGATAGATTGTCAACAGATAGTTACTGGCGTGGATTATCGTATGTGTAGTATTAACACAATATCAAAATATATATTTTTAAATATCATTATCATCAATATCGATATATTGTGACACCTCTACGCTAGATGATGCAAAAGACGTGAGCACAACCATCAAAGACGACTGTCTAGCACCTGTTAAAAGCACATAGAAAAAAACAATGAAAAAGCATTGGAACACAAAAACACATTATGCGTGAATGGCCCCAAGGTCATTGTTTTGCTGTAAACATTCTTATATTTTAAAGGAATTTCTACATATATATATATATATATATATGTGTTTATTATATGGCAATGTATTGGCAGGCTATCATCACACTGATTTTGGCCACGGATATGGCCAGGCATGGCGAGATTCTGGACTCGTTCAAGCACAAAGTGGACAGTTTTGACTTCACCAATGAGGAGCATGTGACTTGTGTATGTACCGTACACCCTCCCTGCCAAAAACACATCTTAAACCAGTCTATGATGATTTGCTGGTCTTTATATGGTCAGTTTAAGAGGGGTTTGGGGCACATTTTAGCTGTTTAGACTTTAGAGACCTGCTTGTCAAAAAGCTACACCAGCATAACGGCAGTTTGGCAAGACTGGTAGACCCGTTTTTAAAAAGCTAAGACCAGCCTAGACCTGCTAAGACCAGTGTGTTTTTCAGCAGGGATATGGCATGAATTTGACAAGTAAAATTTGACAAGTAAAGTAAAGATTTGTTGTTTGTCACGTGTTCAGCTGAAGATGGTCCTTATCAAATGTTGTGACATTTCCAATGAAGTCCGGCCTACAGAGGTGGCAGAGCCGTGGGTGGATTGTCTGCTGGAGGAATACTTCATGCAGGTTTGCTGACTCTCCAACTTGTGTTGTAATTGCTCTACAGTGACAGGTGGGTTTGTTTATGCTGTCTTTTCTTTGTTCAGAGTGATAGAGAGAAATCTGAGGGACTTCCTGTGGCGGCCTTCATGGACAGAGAAAAAGTCACCAAGCCCACAGCCCAGATTGGCTTCATTAAATTTGTCCTCATCCCCATGTTTGAAACTGTCATGAAGGTAAGTGAAATAAGTCATTTTTGTTGTTCTTTCAAATGTTACTTTTACTTTTTACACCATTTACTCACCCTCATATGTTCCTCTCAGCTGTTCCCTCAGATTGAAGAGATTATGGTGCAGCCTCTCAGAGACTCGCGGGACCACTATGAGGAGCTGAAGCAAATTGATGACGCCATGACCGAGGTAAATGCTCCTCAGCTCATAGTCATAGTTTGTAATTTATTGTATGTAATTAAAATGTCATTTATTCCTTATACTCCAGTCTTCATTAACACATGACCCTTCAGAAATCACTCTAATATGCTGATTTGGTGCTCAAGAAAAAATTCTTATTGTTATCAATGTTGAAAACAGTTGTGCTTAATATTTTTGTGTTTAATTATTTAATATTGTCAAGATTCAAGACATTATAACATTATAAAGGTCTTTACTGGCACTTTTGATCAATTTAATGCAGTATTAGGTAACTTTTGAACATTAATGTGTGTGTGTGTGTGTGTGTGTACATATATAATATATCTGTATATTATAAATATACATGCAAATGTATGTAACTATCTGAGATCATAGACTCCCATCTTGCTAACATAAAGGTGTGTTTTTTGTTCAATTAGGCACAGAAGAAAAAAACTGAAAATATGTCATTAGGAGGGAAGAAGAAATAAGCACTTCTGCGATTGTAATGATACTGTGTAAGTATTTAATATAGTTTTGATGTATTTGACTTGATACATTATACACTGAGTGCAGTGTTTTGTCCTTTCCATATGCCAGAAAGCCATTCATTTTACTATTATGCGCTTGAAGTTTTTTCCCTTTACTTGCATCTTACTGGTATTTTCCTAATCTGTACTTTTTATAGTGGCACTTGATGCTATGTTTGATGTGTTTTCTTGTGTAATTTCAGGAGACCCGTGCCCGTCTGCACTGTGTGGACAGAGTTCCGGTGTGAGGATCTGTGAGACACTGGGCTGGTGTTGACGCCGGCTGGTTTGAATCCACTGAATCTAAAAGGTCACCTAATCGACTCATGAAATCATGACTCGCTTCCTTTTACCAACAGACTACTAGGCCAGTCTGATTCTTTCTTTTTGTCATCAATCAGTTAAAAAGCCTTTTCGGCTGATATGGGCATAGATTCATCACTTCAGTTTTGATCTTGTTTGTTTGGCTTTTTGTTCTATTTACAGTGTTCAACAACAAAAACATGCATTTCTATTGCATGTACGTAGTAGTAGTCATCTGCACGTTTTGTGGTCCCAAAGCAATCAAGATTACAGCATGACGTATAACCATAACTAGTGCTTTTTGATGATTATAAAAGGTCAGCATAATATGATGCTGTTCCTTTATCAACTATTTCTCTCCTGAGTTCCTTTTAGAACATATCAGTTCACATTTTAGGTGGTTTTGTGGTGAGCACAATACCACTGTAAACCATAATATCAAATTTTAAGGATACCCGAGAACTCCTTTTGCAGTGTTTTGGTTGAGTTTCCAAACTAGATGTGTTTTGCCTTGTTAATTTGGTTATTGAGGTTTGAAATCAAGGCATTTCCACTAGAACATCCGGATAAATGATAAGATTAAACAGAAAATGTTATCATAATTTGCTTAATGTCATAACTTTCTTTTTTCTACAGAATACAAAATAAGATGGTTTGAAAAATGCCTCAGAAAATGGGGTCCAGTGTTTTTTTGGACCCTATTGACTTTTATTGTATGGACAAAAATAGTTGAACATTTTTCAAAATGTCTTCTTTTGTGTTCTGCAGAAGAAACATATCATACAGATTTGGAACGACATGAGGGGTAGTAAATTGCAGATTTTTTAATTTTAAACACCATAAGTCATACCTTCTAACCACACTCGGTATTTCTACCCTGTGGCCCCATGTTCTCACCGTTCTCTGTATCCTATTTACTCTGGTTTGCTTCTAATACTTCCTCAAAATAAGACAATAAAGTCTGTGGGAGTTCTGCCTCCTGGCTGTTCTTTTCTCCTTTTATCAACGTGGTAATAAAAACTCTCGCCAGGAGGTCACATGTGTTTGCTATTATGACAAGGTTAGGCCTGTACGCATCATATCATTCATATGTTTTGCTGTCAGTGTTTGGCGTCGTCCTCTATAGATCAGCACATTTTGATTGATGAAGATCACGGCACATTTCCTTCGCTAAGGGCTGCGTAACTTGTTGAAACAGGACTGGGGTGCAAAAGTTTGTCATTGCAAGCTATCAATTAAAGCAGATTTTAAGAGGTGAATGGAAAGTGGTATGTAAATAGGCTTGGTTTTGAGTCACGTGACCCAAAACGTAGGGCTAAAGCACACGCACAAATTACATAGTGCAGTTTGTCTGTCATTGTTCCTGGTGCACAGACTGGAACATGTACGTCTGAACCTGTTTTTAAAGTCGCGCTTTTTCCATCGCGGCTGGAGACGCTGGATATGTTAGTGCCTTTGGCTTGTTTTCATGATAAATGGCATCATTTGATATGGATTTCTTCCTCTTGTTGCCTCTATTAGATAATGAGCCTCAATTTAAGCTTTCAATTATCCATCTGCTGGCATGTCTTGCTTTGTCTCCACTCGACTGTGACATATTGAGTTCACAGATTATCAAAGCCTGTTTCATCACCCACTTCAGAGAAAAAAAACAACGCTCATTCTGATTCCAATGCATCCAGGCACACCCTTGCTTTTAGCTAGATGCGAGATATATTTATACTTTGATTGCATTTTTTAACTGCTCTTGAGTGGAAGAGGCATTCTTTATGTCTCTGACATGTTTCAAAAAGTCCCAATTAAGAATCAACAAAACAGGGTTTCAAATAATCTCAAGTTGTTTTGGACCCAGAAGGCACAGACTGACCCATTAAGATGTGTTTCTTTGTGTTCTGACACTTTCAGGTTCTGTGTCGCCTGTGCTTTACTGACTGTTCACAGGGTGGCAATATTTCTCTAAAGAGCTCTTTTGTGCTTTCCACTCAGACGACTAAAAGAAGAGCAATTAGATGACAAAAGAAAAATTCTCAAGAGTGGAAACTGAAAACGATAAAGAAAGTCACACCCAGACATATAAAAGCCTGGTTTTTGGTCATATAACAAACCTACCTGAACTGTGTTGGTATTGTAGAATTTGGCACCATCACTTTGAACTTTTTACTACCTTTACTAAAATGTACTATCGACATTTTAATTTACACCTGAAATGTACACTTCCTCAAAAGTATGAAGTAGTACAGCTGTTTCCAACGTTGATGATAATAAGAAATGTTTCTTGAGCAGCAGATCAGCATATTAGAATGATTTCTGAAGGATCATGTGCCACTGAAAACTGGAGTAATGATGCTGAAAATTCAGCTTTGCCATCACAGATATAAATTACATTTGAACTATACTAAAATAGAAAACAGTTATTTTAAATTGTAATAATGTTTCACAATAGTACTGTTTTAACTGTAGCCTTGGTAAGCAAAATAAATGTACATTATTTAAACAATTCTTGGACTCTGTTTTTAAATGTTGAAGAGAAAAATATTTTGGTGACTGGTGCACATCAATTCTGGTTTTCTAGAGAAAACACAAGCACAATTGAAACCAGCACACATTATCTGTGTGAAGAACGGCCCCCTGGGTAATTTGACTCGAGTAAAATTCTCTCTGAACTCCTTATCAGTATCATTTATCAGTTCAGCGTCAAACTTGAAGCCATGTTTGTCAGTGAAAGTGTTTTGGAGATAAGTTCCCTGGAACGTTTTTCCAAAACAGATTAAATCTGCTTTGTGTCACTGCGGTCGATGTGGTGTAAACTGTAAAGTCAAATTAAAAGTGATTTGGATTCTTTTTAAAGGACCACGCTGTTTTGCTTTCCTTTATTGTCATTAGTTTCCAAAACCCTCTCGCTAATTAGGGGTATTTCCACCAATGAATCCCATTTGAAGTTTTATGTTTTTAAGGATAGTGTGACAACAACTGTGTCATATTTAAACAAGTTATTTTAAATGGAATCATTTTATGTCAAAAAGTTTATTTGTCACATGTGCAACAACTCAGAAGTATATATATATATATATATATATATATACTAGCAATAAATCTAAATAAAATATAATGGCATACATTAGCAAAAATAAAAGATTTAAAAACTAAACGTGGTATGTCTATTTGTAATTTAGAAGCATTACTCAGTAATGGAGTAATGGACAGCAGTGGAGCTTTAATGACATTCCTCATCCAGACTCTATTAAACTTCAAAGCTGCAGAACTCTTCCCTCTTACTGTATTTCCTCTCCAGATACGGTCTTTGTCTAAACACATATGTCTCCACCGGTCTGCGTCTCCTCTCTGTGTTTTCTTAGAGGGGCCCAGAGCTAAGGGTCAGTGTTTGGGCTGTCAGGGGCCTCTCCTTTGGGGGGGTGTCTAGATTTCAGTTCACCACAGATGCATGAATCATTTTCCTTTAGTGAAAGAAACGGTGCAAAGCAGAATGTTTCTTCTCCTATGTTCCCAAACTTTTTCACTATGGAGTTATTATCCTGTCAAATGTCGAGAGCGCATTATTGTAGCGCGAAAGTACATTAATATAATGCGCGAGCGCGAATCTCTCTGCTCGCGCGCGGAATATGATGTGCCGAGCGCGAATCTCTCTGCGCGCTCTCAGATACACGCTGCTCTTGTAAGAATTTTCTCTGGGCTCGCTCAGAGAATATGCCTGCACTTAAAACGTGTTCAGTGCAATCGGGAATCTCTCCTCTTCGCTTAAAGTAAGCGTGTATGTGCTTAGACTGTGTCCCGTGCGTTTGCGCATGCCTAATTACTCTTCTCTTCGATTTCTTTCTCTTTGCTCTTGGCATAAACGCTGTCAAAACGGCAACAACCAATCAGAAATTGCTATTCCATATGTTATGTAAGTTTTTTCCCCCCCTTTTTTCTGCTGTTCTGTAAAGCACTTTGGCCAGCCAGTGGCTATTGTAAAAATGAGCCATATAAATTAAATAAACTTTAACTTGTGAATGTCATTGGTTATTTTTGGTCATAATCCTTGTCCTTGTGTTCCCATTGTCTCTTGTCTAGCTTTGTTCCCTGTACCATTGTTGGTGATTCTATGTTTAGTCCAAGTTTATGTTCATGTCAATTTCATATTGTCACTTCAACCCAAATCGGTTTATTGGAATAAACTATACTTGGGTTCAATTCAACTCAACTTCAGTGGACTACATTACACATATATTATAGACATGATTCATTTTTTTTTTGTCTTAATTTTAAAATCTGAAAGTTCTTGTTTTAGGTTCTTCATATAGGCCTATTTTATAGGCTACCTTGTTATATAAAAAACATTAAGAAAGGTTTTAATAATTATTAAAAGCTTTCTTAATGTTTTTTTTTATTGAATGAAACGTTTTTCATTATCTTAGAAAAACATTAAGAGAACGTTTATATAATGGGAGAATTGAACGTTTGAATAACGTTCTTATAACCAAGCAAGAACGTTAATACAACGTTTATGTAAAGGGAGAATAGAACGTTCTAACGTTATTATAACCAGGAAATAACGTTAATACAACCAACGTTTATATATAGGGAGAATTGGACGTTCTTATAACCAAGAAATAACATTAATACAACGTCTAAAAAACTGGACGTTTTGAAATTCCCTAGAACATTCAGAAATAAAGTTTTTATAACTTAATGGGAACGTTATGAAAACGTTCTTATAACCTAAAATTGTTAGCTGGGGAAGAGGAGAGATTCGCGATTGCACTGAACACGTTTTAAGTGCAGGCATATTCTCTGAGCGAGCCCACTCAGCCCAGAGAGAGAATTCTTACAAGAGAAGTGTATCTCAGAGCGCGCGCCCAGTTCCCGCGCGCGAGCAGAGAGATTCGCGCTCGGCACATCATATTCCGCGCGCGAGCAGAGAGATTCGCGCTCGGCACATCATATTCCGCGCGCGAGCAGAGAGATTCGCGCTCGCGCATTATATTAATGTACTTTCGCGCTACAATAATGCGCTCTCGACATTTGACAGGATAATAACTACATATTTCACCATCTTGAGACCCACCAAAAGCGCCTTTGTATTGAAATATAATGGAGAAAATGCATTTATTCTCTTTCAGTTAACTTTTATTTTTATTTTTAATTCAGTAAAGATTCATTAACATGATGGAATTTGCCGTAAGTGAGTCATATGATGATTCAGTGAGTGCCATACAGTGAAGTGTTTGTCAGAAGGATTCATCAGGCTGATTCAAACCATTAACTCGGAAAGAGTTCAGTAAGTTGATTCACTAACTGTTTTGGCGGATTCTGTCAGTTAATTCAGTGAAGTCTTCGTCGGAAGGAGTCGTCTGACTAATTCAAACCGGTACATTTGTGAGGATAATTCGTTAAAAGAACCGGCTCATAAGAGTCATTTGTTTGTGAGTTGGGTGGGACCCGCTTATTCCCTAAAACCCGCTAAAAAATGCATTTAGCCTATTCACATTAACACCTTTTTTTCGCCTTGAACTAATGCAATGACATGGAACTAGCAGCCTGAATCACATGCTGATTCATTTGCTCTCCTGGCAGATTCGGTGAGTTCGTTCAGTGAAGGATTCATGGAAAGGATTCAACAGGCTGATTCCTGAGTTTGTGAGTCGTTTGTAAGGATTCATGTAAAAACCTGCTAAATTGGGTTGGACACTGTTCTAAACTATGTTAATATAATAAAAATGTATTAAAGATAAGAATATCAGAAGGCAAAATGAGAATTCTCTTCATGTGAGGTCTGCATGGCTTCAGGGGCATTCCTTATAAAGTCAAAGCGCAATCTCCTCGACAGACAGCTTTTACAGGACACCTCACACTTTCCAGACAGGGAACACCTGTAGTGCTCATCAGGTCATTTGCAGTCTAAACGGTGAAGCGTTCAGGATAGATTTGCCTACTACAAAAACCAACTGTCCGTTTGTGAACCAGACTGGATATCA